ATCGGCCGAAAACGAAATCGCGCGATCGACAGGATGCCGGCTGGAGAACAAAGGGCGTTGGACGCCGGAAGGGCGCGAGGGAAGGGGACGGAGGGCGCTCGCCCCGGCGAAATTGAAATTCTGGGGACGGCCGGGGCATTACAAGTGTCCTCTCGGACCTGCCCCGATGAAATCTAGCATTCCCAGCCATCGTGCCGCTCTATGAAATCCGGTTTAATCTCGGCGGAACTTTTCCTCCGAAGGAGCAACTCGCGCCCGCGTTCGTAACAAGCACTCCGTTAATTCTATGGAAGCGATTATTTCGGTGCAGCGCTCATTTTTTTCCCACGGTCTATGAAATTTCCGTTTCGTTAGCCGCGATTGAAACTGTCAAACGATATTTACGGCGTGCCCGTTAATTGACAAGATTCCGACGCCGCGACTACTTTTTTCTCTTTTTTTTTGTTTATCCTGCGAACAGTTATTTCACAGTTAGTTACGCGTCGCCATTATTTAATCGCACAGACGGCGCTCCGGGGCAGCAGCAGGAGCGAACAGGGCGAGCGTAGTTTAAGGGGCTTGTTTACATAGATGGTTACACAAATCTCCGATACTAATTGGCTACTAATTGATGACCGACGATACGAACTGCCGGCGCGGAAAGGGAACCGGGGGCGGAATTTTTAATTAATTCTGTCCCGGTACATTGGGGGCTACTTGTTTACCTGCGCAGACTATAACTGGCAAGGTAATAATGTGTTTTACCTTCTTTTTCATTCGATTTCATTTCTTTTTCTATTAACTCGAATGCTGGAATTATCGAGCTCGGTGGATGAACGTTATGGAAAATTGTGTGAAAAATTAACGTTTACCGTGCCAATTTCACGTTAAAATACCGTCGTTCGATTGAACGATTTATAATAATAAATCTACAGGTACCTTCTGGGCGCTATTTCGTTCGGGCTTATAATTTCATTCGCGTTTCGTTTACACTTTCGAGAAAAGCTACGACTATGAAACAATGCAGAAATTGTGTTCAGAGGTGCGTGAACATACTAACTCTGGCGAAAAGTATTCGATCACCTTTCAAAACGCGATAACATTTTTCAAATTCGTACAATTGACTTGAATCTTTTTTTTTTAATTGTTAAACCGACTAATTTTCGGCGCAATGACTGGCATACTGTTCTTGTTAAATTCTGCTATTACATAAAATGACAAAAAAAGTACGCCAGTCATTGCACCGTAAATTAGTCGCTTTAACAATTAAAAAAAAATGATTCAAGTCGATTAGACCAGTTTGAAAAAGGTTATAGCAGTTTAAAAGATGAACGAATTCTTTTTGCCAGGGATTGTAGCAGGAATACAGCTCGTTTACGATAATATTATTCAGGAGATTAAATAAAGACCTGCGGACGATCATTTCAACAAATACGCAGCTCGAGTGTTCTTCCACCGAACAGATCAGCCTATATTGTTTCACAACAAAGCCGAGATTCGACTCATTTAGACTTCGTACGATTTCTACTGTAACGTAAGTTTACATAACGAAATCTATTATCTAAATGTAAACATTTTGGTAATATCAAGAATTGTAAAAGAAAACAAATCAACCGTTAGAGACCACGGAAACAGTCTTCTCCGAAATAACAGGTTTTTAATTGCACGCCGATGTTAGCCGAATAATGTTAAGGAAACTGCCTCGATAAGTCTCTCTTAATTCGGTTCTCTATCATCCCGCGAAGCTTTTAACTGTGCAAAACGATCGATGGCGCAGCGACGGATCGTGATTCGCGCGACTTCGATTGAGCGAATGATTAATTCAGCGTTCGTCGAACAACTCTAATTGAAATGAGAACTCTTGATGCTCGAGATCCAATTAGGGTCGCGTCGATCGAACCCCGGGGCAACGTAATTTTCCGTGGGCAACATCGTCTGCCTTTTTTTTCCTTTTTTCGACGGCATGAGTTATTAACATTCCTATCGACAAAGCGGGCTGCCTATTGATTCTTTCCTCGACCACGTTGGCGATCGAGTCGGCAAACATGCAGCAACAAACGGCCGAACGTGCGCGTAATCGCAGTTTTCCCAACGACGCGGCAGTTTTTCACGGTCGAATCGGCGCCGCGGCTCGTCCGGTAAATCGCTGCGGGCAACAATTAGTCACGCGTCGATTTAATTAGGTTGGTCACCGACGACGCAAATTACTGGAAAAATGTTGCTTCGTTTTGGGAAGCACGTTGATTCGACAGCGACTCTTCCAAGCGTCTACTAAACCTACGCACCTTTACGTTCCGCTTTTATCTTTTCGAAAGCGTGAAGTTATTGTCTTCAGGAGCTTGAGCATTCTTCAAAATTTATCGCGTTGTTTTTAGATTTGTCAATTTCGCTATCAAACAGAGTAAGAAGATGTAACAACTTTCTTTGTTTCGACATCTTGCAGATTCAAACGCCTGTACCGAGTTTAAACATTTTTATCTCGCATTTGATCCACTGAAACCTTATAAAGGGAAGTGAACCCTTTACGGTGACCTCTCAAAAGTTGATTTGCAATTTCTCGTTGCGATGTTATAACGTTTTAATTCCGCTCACTCGAATTTTAGTTCTCCGATATTGACCGCACACATTTCGTTTAAAGTTCCATAAAACCGTGGCAAAAAATCGCAGGTTCTCTTGCGGGCGACACAGACGCTGTATAGTGAAAATAAAGCACACGCGTACTGCTCAAAACTTGATACTCGTTTCACGAGCACATCAGACAAGAAGGAACTTCGGTTTTTCATTCTGGTTTATATCGTTTTTAAGTGCAGCGTTCTTTTTTGTGTCTTTTATCTTTTTATTTCAATTTCGAAGCATTTGAACTTTGTTAAGTTGGACCATATAGCACGATTATTTATTAGTGCTTCAAGAAAGGTAAATAACTTCACTCTCATTAGTTTTTTGGAGTCCGGTTGCACGGCAATAGTATTTGGCGCATGAAAATTGAGAAAAAAAGGTTAAAGCTACAAATTAGAAATAAAAAGTTAAGTCATCGTTTTTATTCCAGTATTACCATGTACAGTAATGTCTCTCTAATTGACGCTCGGACTGCCCACAAAAATGGAAAATTTGGGAAGAGAAGATACGATTATTCGAGCCCTGCGGTTCGATTTATAGTTACGAATTGTCAACGACTATAAAAAAAAACGAGCTACGAGGCTCGAATGATCGTATCTCCTGTCCCCAAATTGTCCATTTCTCTGCACAATCTGAGCGTCAGTTAGGGAGACATCACTGTACAGTAATTAACACTGTACAGTACACTATATAAATTAACACTGTATTCGTGTTGATGTACACCGACATGCTGATCGCTGCCTTTTTCGCCGACTGCTCCGAGTTTCTATAAAAACGAGCCGCGAGGCCCGAAGAATCGCGGCATAGTACTCTCGGATCTGTTTCCATTCGGATCCAGTTTCAATTCCGACCTCCGAACATTTCTGGGAGAAATTACTGTATCTCTCGCGGAGCAAATAAGATGTTCCCGGGAGAAGTTTCTCGTCCGAATGGGCGAAGTAGAATTGCCTGCAGGAGTTTACAGTGTTCGAAACACGAAAAGGAACAGAGTTGGCAAGGTAGATGGTAGACATTAATTCTGGCGGCGGATTTTCGATTTTACCGTAGCGTCGCTCGCGATTCGTTCGAACGTCGGTCTCGTCTAAATGCACGCGGGAAAGATGACTTCTCCGTTAATGAAAATTGACGGGCGCAAGACGCGATATTTTGGGACGCGCGTTTCTATCGATCCGCGGAGGATCCCGCGTTATTCATGGGATTTGTGATTTTTCCCGTTCCCCGTGAACTCGCTTAACACGGAGGACATTAGACGTGCTCGTTAATTACGTTCCCGGCTGCGCCTCCGGCAATTAAGTTCGGAGAGACGCGGCATAATTTTAGCAGCTATCAACGTCGGGGTTCGCGACGAGTTAATGTCCTCGTGGTTTGTCTCGCATACAGATTATATCTGCGACTTTTCGCAACGGCGACAAGTTGCGCGATCGCGACTCGATTTACCGCGACATCTTTTTCACTGAAATTAACGGGTTAACTGCGACCCCGTTGCCAGGGGGCGACGAAAAATGAATTTTGTGATACACGATTGTCGTCGGTGCACGTCGAAATGCCAGCGTGTAATTTACAGTCTCCGATGTCTCTCTAATTGACGCTCGGATTGTCCACAAAAATGGACAATTTAGGGAGAAGAGATACGATTATTCGATCCTCTTCCCAAATTGTCCATTTTTGTGCACAATCTTCTTTTTGTGCGTCAGTTAGGGAGACATTACTGTACCGCTGGAAAAGTGAATAGCCGAAAGTGTTCAGAAATCGTTGATCGCGAACGCGCGTGTTGCAAAAGCTGTCGAATATAAATTTACTTTACACCTTAATAACGTTACATTCACGCTAAAATGGTAACGGAGGGATACAGTTTGAGCACAACATTTTCAAATCGACTGAAAGATTACCCTTACTGAAAATTATTGCAGCAATACGCCAAAATCGCGGACAATTTGAAACTGTCGATGATCCAAAAAACGCGCACAGAAAAATATTAAAAAATTATACGAATCTTCAGCCGCTGCGGTAATTAAATGTAAAGAAAGCACGAGACAAACTATTAAATACAAAATATCATTTACAATCTTGTTACAGATTACGGCAAAAGCGTGACCGTGTTCTGGAAGAAAATTACCCGAATTTGCACGAAGTTCAAATATGTCGTCGTACCGTTTCAATTTCAGATTCGTTCGGTTTTACGTAGCGTGTTAAGGTGTCGTAGCTTGGTTACAACCTAGTAGGTTTTACAGGCGTCGAGGGAGCGGGTTCCAAAAATACGGTCCGGCGAAAATGTGACACCGGAGGGGGCTGTTGCGGAACGTGTTGAAGAGGAAGTTTCGTACGAGCCACAGGTGAGCCGGTCCTCGTCGTGCTCGAGTAGAAACGTAAAAAAGAGATAAAAGGAAGGTAGAACGGGTACTCACTCTGCAGACAGTCGGCGTTGAGCAGATCCTTGCACTTTTCGTGGCACTTGACACCGCACTCCGTGCACCGGACCCCCTGTCTCGCGATGCCCCAGAGAAGTCCCTCGCACTCGTAGCAGTAGGTCGGCGACGTGGCTGTCCAGGTGACGAACTTGTGCGGCGTCGTCGAGGAGATCGGGTAGATCATTGCCTGCAGCGTTTTCTTGTACACGTGCATCTTCTGCGGGGGTTTCAGCGTTGCACAGCATCATTAGTATGGTCAAACAGAATTGGGACGCGTGTATAGGGGGCTTGGAAACTCTTTAAAAACGCACACCTCGAACCACCTCGGCTCGCTGCTCTTACGATGGGTTACTGATCGAAACGTTTCTCTCTCGTGGCACTGCGCCGGCAAAGAGCACGAAACCAGGCTTCGTTACTTTGCGATTCATTATTACCGGGGGTCGAAAACTTTATGCAACTTTTTAATAGGCTCTGTTGAGGACCCGTGCAATTTTATGAACAGTGTACGCGAGCATTCTCGGTTTCCTTGGTGGAGGAGGCGAAACGAACGAAACAAAGTTCCTTTATTAATATTTAGTTTTGTCAATGAATAAGATTAGGCATAATTCATCGCTTTATCGTTATGCAATAAGTACCGCGTAAAAATCGATATTTAAAAGATGGACCGTAGAATTTTTTGGAAAGATGTTCGAATACTGGAAAAAATACTTCTTCATGATTGTAATAGATATTGAATACTGTTAAACGATATTAAATAATTGTTACCCTCAAATTTATGCTCTGAATATGTTATTTGTTATATTTATGTGAACAATTGAGTATTCAAGTGTTTCTTTTTGTATTTCTTTTATAGAATCTGTTTTAATGAACGTTCTAATATGTATCCTTGTTTCGAAGGTGCTTTTATTGTACGGGTTCTAAAGTATTTATATCTTCGTTCATTCCAAGAGAGTATGAAATTATTTACAATATGGCGCGGTGAGATATTAATTTAACATCGTAAAGCGAATCGAATACATTGCATAAGCCTCCAAATTTTTGTTACACTTCAGATGGAATTTTACGATTAAGAAGCAAGCACATACATTTCAGACCTAGATAATCAAATCCAATAAACGTTTCTGGCACAAAATTGTTCAGCCCGGGGTCGTGCTCTTAACAAGGTACGCTTCCACCACGAATGTTACATTTCTGGAAGCAAGCTCCATTGGATATTCTTCCATTTCCGAACTCGCCCAGCTATATTTTTAACCGTAATTGACTGACAACCAAGAGAGGAAAGAAAATGAAATTTCGAAGAGACGCGCAATCACAATCCCCCGAGTGGCATCGGAAATTTCATCAGGGGTTCTTGATGCGCTTAATTCGTTTAAAACGATAATTGACGTTTCGAGCGGAATTGCCATCTAGGCCCCTTTTTATGGATCAGCAACTTTTCGGAACGTCGCGCCGGTGAATATTCACGGTCACGCATTTTCGTCTCGAATCGGAACTCTTCCGTTCGGTTGCCAGTCAATCGAACGAATCAGTAAACCGTTTCCTAGAGTCCCGGGTTTTCAAGGATTCTACTTGAACCGTGAGTATTTACACTGTATAAGGAGACTCCATAGCTATTAACAATCAAACGAACGAACGAACGATCGAACGAACGAACAACGAAACGAACAAAAAAACAGGCGTGAGACTAGAAACTCTAACACGATTCACCGGTAATCCGTAAAACTGTTCAGATCGTCTTTGATTGGAGACTATGGTACCTCTAAATTCCTAAAGACTTTTTACAGTGTCCCAGAAAGTACTGCGCATCTAAGAGCTCCGATTCGTCGGATTCGTGTAACGTGAACGTTTTTAATCGATTTCGGTTATGATCTTTTGCCGTCTGTGTCCGCAAGCAACCCATTCTCCTACTACACAAAAGAAAATAACGGAAACGAAAGCGTCCGCGATCGCGCAGTATTTCCTGCTTGAGAAAAAAAAAGAAAAAGAAAAAGAAAAACAGAAAGAAGGGAAAAAGAAAGAAAAACGCCCCTAGCGTGTCGTCATGCTGCTAACCCGGCAACGAGTTTCCGGTGTTCGGTCAGTGAGCCGAGGTGTCGTTCGCATATCGAAAACACAGATATGATCCCGACGGACCACAAAACTGTCATCAGATTGTCTGCAATTAATCCAGAGATCCTTCTCTAAACACAATTCTGCCGCGCATCTGCGTTTTCGAGCCTCTCAGCCGCCACACTCTTTTCTATCGTTCGACGAGCTCTCTCGGGACACTCTCATGCAGAGTCAAACATCCTGCAAGACGATCATACACGCTGCCAGTCGCGCCAGTCACACACTAGCAGTCGCGTGTAGACACACGCGAAGATCATAACGTGCCGGGAGCGTTGGTGCCTGCGAGACCTAATTACCACACGCAATCCTGTGTATATAGATTGAACAAGGGGATTAGGGGGTTCAGAGGGGGGAAGGGGGCGTCTTGGATGTTCAGCCGCGTGCGAGATTCACAAGGATCACCCGTTCGAAACACGGCGGCTGGCGTCGCGCGTTGTCGCGGGCGGTTTCCTTACGAACCTCCTCTAACGAGGGGGCTAACAACGTGTGGGAGAAGCCAGACGAGAAGGCTAATCCTGCAACTGGCCTAGACGCGTGTTTGTCCTTGTCAACTGGCTACGCTGGCTGCGCTAATTATCCGACAAAACCATCCTCTTCGCTCATTCCCATCACAGATTGACCGCCGATCTTGGCCGGCTTTCTTCGACGATGCGCATCGTTTCGCGGTTGACATCCGTAATTAAGCGGTCTCTTTTTGGCCGGATTCGAGTCTTTCCACGAGCTTTCGATTCTTCGTTCAATTAAACGAAGATTGCTTGCTTCCGGTTGTTTTTAGTAGATTTTGGAAGGGGTCGAATGTGTCTTAACTTTACCAAAATTATCGACTTTTAAACTTCTGCAGAAGTTGTCTATCAGATTGTACATTCTATTAGCAAAATAGCAACGTTGGAAATATTGATTTAATTTGCATAGAATATCATGTAAAATTGTATCGCATTACAGGTTTTATGGAACAAAGATTCGCAATTTTGAAAGTAGTGTAATTATTAATAATCTTGTTGTCAGTAATAACGATGGAAATATTTACTCTGTTTATAAAGTATATGGTATAAAATTGCGTTGTTACAGATTTTATGAAACAAAAGTTTGTGACTTTGGAAGTACCATAATTATCAGTTATCTTGTTATCAGTAGTAACGATGGAAATATTCACTGTTTATAAAGAATATGGTATAAAATTGCGTCGTTACAGATTTTATGAAACAAAAGTTTGTAACTTTGAAAGTAACATAATTATCAGTTATCTTGTTGTCAGCAGTAACGATGGAAATATTCGCTCTGTTTATAACAAATCTGGTGTAAAATTGCGTCGTTACAGATTTTCGGAAACAAAAGTTTGTAACTTTGAAAGTACCATAATTATCAGTTGTCTTGTTATCTCAGTAGCAACGATGGAAATATTCACTCTAAAAGAATTCGGTATAAAAAATAAAACTGTCACAGTCTTTTATGTCTCTAAAAGTAAAGTTAAGCTAACGTTATTCATTAACACTACGAACTCAGTAATTCGAGGGGATCAGTTTCAATATTTTATTATTTCGAACCTTTCGTCGCGCCCTTATTTGCGTATGCAAAGCGTCGGGCGAAATAAACCGGCGCGCTTTAATCCGAAAGCTCGGAATTAAAATGCAAAGCAACGGGTTAATAAAAGTGCTAGAGCAGCATACTTTCGAACTGATTTCTACGGGTACAAAATGAAGTTGAGATTATCTTTTCAATCACAGTTATCGTTCAACCTCGAACACCGGACTCCGGCGCTAGAACACGCTCGACTAGACCTTTATTAAAATGGCTAACCTTTGACTTTTCCTCGCGTCTTCTAGGATTTATTACGTTCCGAGAAACATGCTGAATCTAATTTGCCGTCGAAACATGAAAATACGCCGAGAATTCTACGCAACACGTTTACGTGTCTTCTTGAAAAATATGATCGCGGATACGATTTTTAAAATGCGGAACGTATCGTCCGGGGCTTTTCCTTCATCCGCGAAAAGAAAAAGCAACGAAAGAAGAAACCGCGTCTACCGTGTTCGAAAGTTTTCTCTCCGGCAGAAATTCTAAAATATTAAATGCTTCGGTTGCAAAGCAACGCGAACGGTCGCGAGTTGGCGGTGTACGGAACGGCGGCCGCTGTATCGAAAGCTCGTGTTTCTATTTCCTCGGTTTTCCTTTATTTTCGACGAGCTTCTCGCTCTCTCCCGGCGAAGCCAGCGTTTCAGTTTTCAAGGGTCCGCGCCCAGAATGGGGTTTAGGTGATGCTACGAGGTTCCTCGAGGTGTCGGTATCTATTCCTTTTCGGAAGGGGGGCCCCGTTGTCCCCCCCAGCTCTCGAAGATCCTTCGCTACGGTTCTTTTCACTCGATTTTTATCTTTCTCTCGTATCGACACATCGAAAAGGGCCTTCCTGTCGGATGATCGAGAAGCGGAATTTTATTCGGACATTCTCTCCCTCGGAAAACGGCACTTCTCCTATCGATTCGGCGAACCCTCGCCGCGATTACGTTCGCCATTCCTTCTTTTTTTTTTCTTTATTCCGGCGACCGTAGGTACCGGTCGTTTCGAGAGAGAAAGAGAAAGAAGATGTTGATCTAGGTGTCGCACTATTGGGGCGTTCTGCGGGGATTGTAGAAAGCATCGATCCGCTAAAAAAGCACTATAGGGTGCACGCCGTGACATTCGGATGTTCCTCAAGTTTTTCGGACCGTTTATACTTGCTCGCGCGTCGCACAGTGCGTTATTTCTAGAATGGAAATGCGATAATCTAGTATTTTTCTAAATATTGTTTTGCAACGCTTCGAACAATTGAAACAAATATTAAGGCACGAATGAGCGAGCCTCGATAGGAAGATTAATTTCACGTCGATTTCTAATTGAGCTTTTCGTAATTTCTTATTCGGAGCATGCAGAAAGCAATACAGGAAGTTACGTCAATGTTGTAGAGTTATTCTTTTTATTATTTCAAATCAAAGTGTTCTAAAATACTCTCTGATTTTCATCACTTATCTTTTAATAATTGTGCAAATGTGTTCATTAGAATTGCAAGTGCCGATCGATGAAGATTCTAAGCGAGAAAAAGAAACAGAAATTTGATTTTCATTATACGAAAGTGTAATACAATATCTGGCACCGTAATCGTATTAATTGTTACAGCAAAACGCATAGAAACGTGAAATCTGATTTTGCTCATCTCGTATTCCTTGAACGCACTGTGCGTTGCATCGTTAATGCACGCATAATAGCAAGCGGTTGCCACAGCGATGATGATGATGTTGTGGAACACGATACATGGAGTTATTAAATTAGTCCATGCGAAACTGACGAGCCTTTGCATCTATTCGTAATGCTCGCCATTCGATTTTTATCGAACTCCGCGATCCGCTGACAATGTTAATTGCGTTAAAACGCTGAAATTTCAAACTCTATCTTCCTCGAATATCAAAAGAAAACTGTATTTTTAAGCTTTTATGCAACTAATTTATAGTTTCAAATTACGCGTGCATTAAACAGTACAGTAAATTCTCCCCAATTGACGCTCAGCGAGTACACAAAAATGGACAATTTGAGAAAAGGAGATACGATTGTTCGAGCCTCGCGGCTCGTTTTTATGGTTGTTGACTATAAAAACGAGCCGAAAGGCTCGAACGATTGTCCATTTTTGTTTCCAAGCTGAGCGTCAATTAGGGAGAATTTATTGCACCTGTTTTAGATTTCCATGTCTAGAACACTGAATATTTTATACGACGATCGCAGGAAGGAAGCAATTTTGCAATTTTAATAGACTGTAATTTACTCAGAAAATCTCTCGAAATAATCGCTCTGATACCGACGTACATAAAGATTATGCGAACAAACAGCGTGCTCATCTTTCCGTTAACGTTTCACTGTATCGTAAGTTGTTCGAACAGTCTCTCTCGAGAGGGAACCTAAGAGAACGCCTAGTTAATTATTTTTACGACTAATAGAAAAACCGTGAAACTCGAACAAGCCGGCGGAGATGCTCCGACAACGTGGAACGAGTCACGAAGTTGTTTTTAGTGGTTCCAAAGGAGCGAGACCGCGAATAGAAGCACGCGACCGAAGCTTCAACTTCGCGCATAATGTTGGACAATATTTTGAAAGTTGGTCGAGCAGAGTCTCCTTAATGCGACAGACGCTTTGGATTACTTTGCAATTACGAAATCAACATCATCGCGAACGACCGGTATGCCTGATTCAGCGAATACGAGGAATATCCGGCATCACGTACGGGGATCAGAGAATCCTAGCTCTAGCCTAATTACACCCGGTTTACATGACCACTGTAGCATCTCATATCCATGATTTCCTATACGTGACCCACATACACTCACAGAGCCACGCACAGATATGTACACGCGCATCGCGATCGCACGTACATCTCGACCACTACGCACGCGTTTAGCAATTCCCGTGACGGATGTGTACAAATATTTATGCAAATATACGCATGACGTTCACCCTAGCCGCTAGAAGAAACGACTCGTCTAGGATCGCTACGAACGTTGCTTGTCTCAGAGTCACAGAGCGTGATCAAACAGAAAGAGCGATAGAGATAGAGATAGAGAGAAGTAGAAAGAAAGTAAAGAGAGAGAGAGAGAGAGAGAGAGAGAGAGAGAATTATAGACAGAAAGGCAAAGAATAGGTAGAAGATAGGTAGAAGAGAAAGTTTGAAAGTAAGAGAGAGAAGAGAGAGAGAGAAGAGAGAGAGAGAGAGAGAGACAGAGGTTGGGCCACACTTACGTGAAAGAAAATAGCGCGGAAATGAGGATAAAATGCAGCACAGTTCATGTGAAAAGAAAAAAAGTTATCAGAGGTTAAAGTTCAGCTCCACACATAGAGCCTTCGCCGGATGCGCGCTGATGTATGTCGCAGCTTAAAGTTAGATGACGCGTGTCTTACGTTCTAGAGGCGAACATAGATCCTAATCTCTACCCTGAAACGGGCCGACACTCTAACAGCGAGCCTAACACGCTGTCAAGGATCCGAAATGGAAATTAATTACGCGCGGCTCAATGGCAGAGTTTCGCGAGGCTGGCTGGCTGGCTCGTTTCTCTTCTCTCGCCATGCCCTATCTTTTCTAAACGTATCTTCTTTAGCACTCTGCGACAGGCAAGAGAATCCGAGGCTCTTTCCTCGCCGAGTAAATGCTATCCTCGTTCGAGACGTCTGCTCGATGCGGTGTGGCCAGTTCGAACGTACGAAACGCGCGCGATTGTTCGAATGATCAAGATTTTAAGAATTGCCAGTTAACATTACCGAAGCGAAGTTAAACCTGTACTTTCTGGCCGACTTCTTTTAAATTATTAACAAATTTCTGCGTAATTTCTATGTAATTTTATCGGAACGCGTATTCTGACACGTTGCACTTCTCAATGAATCCGAAGCCATTTCGCGTGGCTCTGCGCAGAGCTACGATCCGACGAACCTAATACAGACGCGTGGAGAATTAGGGCTTTCGATATGGATAATAGAAAATTCAGGAACTCCGATGGAAATGATAGAGGGTACAACGGTTCGGAATAGGCAATAAGAGGCCCCAGACGATGACGGTTATAATGCGAATAGTGGGAAATTCAAGGGAATCAAGGGACCCCGCAAACTCGATTTGAGAAGTTAAAACCTCTCAAAGTTTTCTGCGAGTATGAGGAGTTTCGAAGGACTTGGTAACTTCGAGGGATGCTCAGAATCCTGTTGGAACCCTAGGTGATCTCGGGTACCTGGAATCCATCGATAGGATCCTATCGAACTCCTCTGCAGACTTATGCTACGTCTGTCGAGGTTTTGCGTCCTTTCTTGTCAATATTACGTTCATTAAGCACTGATTCCCGCATTTTAACGTCGTTGGAATCTTTTCGCATGCTTCTCAACGAAGAATTTCGTTTCCTCGATGAAAAAATGTTCTCTGAAAGGTTCAGAACCTTGTAGTTTCACTCTTTAGGAATGTCTTATAAGAGTTATTGCAATCAACTTGAAATTTTAAGGGTTTTAAATTTATTTGATTAGATTTCCTATAAAATAATCTTTGTCGCGAGATTATAGATCAGATTTGAACATCTTAAGAGTATTACTTTCTTAGCAAATATTGCGGGAAGCGAGAGATCTTTCTCAAATTCACAGTTTCTGAGATTTCAAGATTACCGATATCGTTTAAATGTAATTTAGCTAACGACAAGTGAAATAAAAAAACAACTACGACAGAAAAATTGCTAAGATAAACTCGTTTTAATATCATTCGTTTATCATCTACAGCAATGTATCGAAAACAATGTGCATCATTTTGAGCATTCACTGAAATCAAAGTATTCTATTGAAGCTATTTTTTCATTAATACTCCTATTCATTTTTGGTACTCAATGATTCATCTTGACCTTGTCTACTGAATAACAGTAACAAAGGTGTCGCCATGAAAAGTATGATCTTCGGAACACTTTAATCTCAATTAATCTTCCTTCGACCTTTAATGTAAAGCTACACCGAGCGTCAAATTAATTCAATGCGCTTGTCTATTCAAAAAAAGGACGATATTTTTCAGCGAACAAAAGAAATTTCAAGCTCGACAGAATTTCGATGAACAATGTTGCTAAGATTGAAAATCTTCAACGTATCCGACGCGTCTAAAGACGTTCCAGCTGTTCGTCAAGGTGCTCGAACGTTCTCAGAGGTAAAGGTTACGGACTGGCCACACCTGTTATATCTTTCCCGATTCCTGCACGGCGATGCTATTCTCGTCCGCCGATGAAACCGTCGCAGCCGCCACCGGCCTCACGCGATTTTCCAATCGTCCGTTTAGGGAGCCGTTCCCGTGATTCCGCGACAGAGCCGCGAGTTCAATCGGGCTCGCGGCTTTATCGCGTGCACGGTCGAACGAAAATCGTCTATCGAGTAATCTTCCAACGAACTCCACCGCAATCGATTAAGTCATTAGGCATGAAACGCGTACTTTTGTTCTACAATTTTACTATCAAATCCACGCGTTTCATACTCAACGACCCGACATTGAAATACACGGCACGGAATTAATCTCCCCTCTCTCGATTTTCGATCTACCCAGTGGACGTTCGGCGCGCAACAACAGCGATCGATCTTGCAGCCTTGAGAGAGGCCCGGCCCGGCCCGAATTTCGAAGGCCGGACAACGACGTTCCAGCGAACGCCGGTAAATTGATTCCTTTGATTATGCGTCTCTCGATTCTGGCGCATCTACGTCCCGAATCTATGTTCCGACTCGATAAGGGCCTCTTTGACACGCTCCGCGGTGAGAAACGATCGGCCCGCGTCAATTCTCGCGATCCTCTGGAGTATATATACATACATACATACATATATATATATATATATATATACACATTTTTTTTTCTTCCTGTCGCAGCACGCAAAACCGATAAAACGAGGAAACGTCAGAAGTTCTGGCACCCGGTGGGAGATTAAATTCTTTTCGCGCGGCCGTTTCAAGGCTCCGATACGTTCGCGCGGCGAGAAAGTGTCGACGGCACGCGATCGTTTTTCACGCGGCAGATGACACGCTCGATTATTCCTTTTTTTTTTCCTGACCGAGAACGGTCGCGACAAGGGAATTCCTCTCGGTTTTTCGTTATTCGATAGGCGACAACGCGCGATAGATGACGATGATGCCTGTAAGGAGCGTGGCTCAAAGGACGAATTCTTACCAGATCCTCGTTGTTCAATGTTTCTCTGGGCACCGCCGCCGTCAGACCCGCCGCGTTCCTCTTCGTCGCCGCCATTGTCTGCGAAAAGATAGAAATTAATGCTCATCTGATCCGGGAACAATGCCTTCCAGTCTCTCTATTGTGTAGACAGAGATAAAGAGCAGGAAGAGAGAAACTGAAAGGAGGGGGGTGGGGGCGAATGAAGATGAAAATGACGGCGCGGGAAAACGATGAAAATAAACGAATAGTGAGGTCCGCGGGTGTTTCCGATGAGAAAATGAAAAACACGGGGGTTGAAGGAGCGGACTTTCAGCGTGAGCTTGCCAGAAGTGTACGAAATCTTTGTATAGTAACATCGATGTTCTACAAACGGCACAGTATCTAGATAATGAACACGCTGCTTTGACTTGTGAACCGATTATTATGTATAATCGTCGAGAAAAATCAAAGAGACACAGCTACTTGCGAAATCATCGAACAAACAAATTGCAGAAATATATCGTGACATCGAGCTTCTACATTTGGCATACGCGTTTGTCTCCGTTCAAACGGAACATTTTTTTCTGTCGTCTCAAACGCGAACACTATGCTTTTTAGCAACGTTAGTTGCGCTCGTATCGATATATACGTATGTATGCCAAATATATTCGAGACGTCAGTGTTGTTATATTTACAGATGCTATTTACAGACGTGGTAAAATGTGTTTTATTTACATTGGCTTGTCTGAAAGCCGTGCTCCGAGCGAAAACAGAGGCTAAGCTTCTCGATCATTTACGAAACGCACTACGAGCGTCTATTTACGATGCAGCCGAATTAGTTTCGACTTCGAAATATGTGCACTATCGTTTACAGCTACTGTTTACTAAAATCAAGTCAAAGTTACCAGGATTCGTAGGTGACCGTTCGCATCAACGATTCCTCGCCGATTTTCACGAGCTTGAAGAATATTGCTTTTCTGGACGACGTTCTTTTTTCTGTACGCGTTCGTGGATCGTTTACAGAAATGTGTTTCACCGGTTCGAAGAGACTATTTTCTTACAGTTTCAGAAATCGATTCATCGAAAGCACTAGTTATTTCTTACGCGAAAATGTCCCTTTAACACTACGCCGTCCGCAGATCTTAGATATGATTCTTTTGTTTGACGCCGGCATAATAGCTTGGAGATTTTAGATTTAAAAAAAATTACGAAGATGGCGGTAATATAAATTCCTAAAATTAAGATATGCCATCCAAGAATTTTCGTACTTAATTCTTAGGTAAATAAGCACAATGCTATAGTTAGTTTGCTGCCTTTCAACGCCCAAGAAATATAGTTCAAATGGTATTTCAGTTTTTTAAAATTGCACCAAAGTGGTACAACATCGGCATACTACAGATAGTTTTTGCATGGCACCAGCGTGGTGCCACCGGACGGCATAGTGTTAAGAAATGTAACAGAGTAATAATAGTAAAGGTACTACAATTGGCGGACTATATTTATCAGACAGCCTCGGACGAGATATTTCACGAGTCTGTTCTTTATTTAGGGTCACACAAGAATAGACACATTTCTTTTTTACAACGACGAAGAATTTTCCAGTTTCTGTTAATAATGATCTAGAATACAGTTCAATGTATATATCTTTATATATTCAATTTTAGACCTTTATACTGTTTTCGTACCTTCACTTTATATATCTTTTTATATATTCAAATATCAAATCTAACCAAAATACAATCCTAACCGAATCAACTTACAAGATATTTTCGTACACACGGAAGGTGTCGGACAACACGTTTCAAGCTCGCGAAGCTCGGCGAAAAAAATGGCTAACGCGAACAGTTCAGCGACAACGATTTATGATAAAAAGCAGCTAAACGGGCCGCCGAGATCGAATAGCTCTGCCCGAATAGACGAATTCGTGTCTTGGCATAAGAAACACCGATTGATATTGAACATCGTATAGACAGCGGGACGAGCCGAATAATAAAATGTCGTCGGTGAGGCGGAAAATGCGGAGGTGTGACGCGTGTGTACGAAATCGAAATGAAAAATGAGGAACAAAACGGGACCGCGGCGAAGGGGGCCAATAAAACAGAAAAACGGGACGAGATAAAATGGTCGACCGGACGAGTTGTGTCTCGCATCAAGAATCGATCAATGGAGAACTGAACGGGTGTATGCGTGTACGTGTATGTATATGCGTGTACGTGTGCGTGTGTGTGTGCGCGCGCGCGATGGCGAGAAACGGAAACACGAGGGTGTACAAATGAATGGCCGGATGGCGATAAAAGGCAGAGCGAGATAGAAACGGTGAATCTCTACGGAGAGAATCTAATCCAATTAGCTTATAGGGCCGTGGTAGGTGTGGCGCGTCAGGATTTGCGGCTGGCTAGATTTCAATTAAGATATTATGCACGGGGCCCCGTGCTCGATGCATGCGCTACTGCCTGTTCCCAGGTGGACAGACGCTAATTCCGGAGCACTAATTTCGCGCCTCGCCTACGCTCTCCTCATACCCTCTATCAGCTTTTCTACACTCTCAAGCGTGTACGTGGTTGTGACAAAGCGTTTCTCTTTCGCACGGGGCACCGTGATCCCTTCGATCTCTATCTGACTTCGTCTTTTCGCCAGCTTTCTTTCCACGAAAGCCGACACAGTTCGAAAGAATACAGCTGCGGACGAATACATATCTTTGCCGCAATCCTTGATCACACTGGTCAACCCCGATCTTTGGCACGAGGGACGTTCGCACCGAACGGCGTTTCGTGCCGTTGAATACAAACCTGCTCGTCGTTTCTCCACGTCTCAATTTATGGAAAATTGGATACCTCCTCGAACGACAAACATTCAATTTTAAGAACACGTTCTGCTTCGGACGCGAAAGCTGCACGAACGATTCCTCTGCCGAACGATTCTGCAGATTCTTTCGAACACAATGATGCATCTTCTTAGGATAAACGTGTACGTTGAACGTCTTTGAACGATGTTTAAAGAGGTATGCTTTTAACGCGCGAATCTTCGAGTACATTTTTCTATCGATCTCTATCGAAAACGAAGCGGTCCGCGGTTAAATCTAATCGAACTACGCGATAAGGAAATTTTTCTGTTTTTGGAGATTGTAAATACAAGTTAAAAATGTCGAAGAGGATGTTGAAACTCAAAATTATGACAATTCGAAAATACACTTCGAAAATTTCATGTCACTTCGGACGTTTCGTTTTCGAAGAAAAATGTCCGAGAAAGTCGACGCGCCGAAAGCGTTATCTCGCGTTATCCGCTTTTAAACCTTGTTTAAACAATTCACGACGTTCCAAGAAAACATTGTATTCGAGAGAGAGCGTACAGAATCGATCCGCGCAGGAACGAACAAATACAAGAGCTTGCACGGTCGAATCGGCAGAAGCTCTCGAAATGAAAAATTTGCCCCGTTTCGGCCCGAAAATTCCGGGCCTCCGGAGAAAAATTGGGGGAACGGTTGGAAAAAGACAAAAGTAATCCAATTTCGTCGACCAGTGTCATCGAATATTGCGCCGGCAGTCGCCCGGAGAAATTGATTTACGCTTCCTGGAGCCTTTCTCGCGCACGCGAAAAGCAATTTCCGGATTATTCCAAGTTCCAGGCGGGGGGTAAACGAATTTCCCTTGGACCACCGACCGTATACATCGCTGTGACCAGTTTTCGGTCATCGCATCGCAATTGTCCAGGGCAACTTGGACAGTTCCGTACCTGCATCCTAACGATGCGTTCGCGTTCCAGCTCCTCCCCTCTCTCGCGTTCCCGCGCAGAAACGCGGCGGTCGCGTCCACGATAAAAAACGTGTACGGAACCAAAGAGAGAGAGAAAGGAAGAGAGCGTCTGGAGGAAGACTCGCGGTGATCATCGCTCGTGATCCCCGGAATAAAGCGGTGGTCGGATCGGTTAATCCTACGCTCGATTAACCGACTAATTGCGTTCTAACAAGCTACGACAACGAGGCTACCGACTGACTACTGTTTGTGTTCGGCTACTGGTTTCATGCGTGACACGATCGTCGTGATGATTCTCCGTGCGGGTACACTCAGAAGATTCGAAATACGAAAAACGGAGCAGCGTGCGAGCGTATCGGCCGTCCTCTCGAGAACGACGCCCGCCGTTCGACGCTCGATTCCGCGCGGAACATCGTTGGCGTTTAACGAGAGCGCCGCCGTGGGAGCTTGGCTCTCGAGAGGAGCCAAGCGGATACGCTCGATGTTGCCCATCGGAAAAGTAGATTAGCACGGCTAGAGCAAAAAGTGACGAGCAAAACGTTCGAGGCTAGAGCGTCGGCGTAAGATTACGGTTCGGTCGGGCGACGAGCAACGCTTTGGCGTGGACGGCGCGCGGGCCGCGACGCCGCGGAGAGAGAAAAAAAAGGGAGGAAAGCCGGGCTAGCTTTTCCGGCGACCCGCGTCGCGCTAATTACAACGATATCTTGTTACTCGGCGCGCGACGAGATGGCTGGAGCGGCCGCGGTAATTATGTCGCGACACGCGAAACGAGCCGGCCGCGCGTAACGCCGCTTTTAATCCTTCAATTAGAAAATCCTCCGTTACGTGGCGGCGAATTATGCGTGAATAATTAAGTCGATTATCGCGCCCGTCGAACCGTCGGTGCGGGGGCGGAGTCGCGTTGCTCGCGCGCAACCGTAATCCGTAAGCCGCGTTCGCAGAAACGAAAATCCCGCGGCGAAACGGACGCGCGGATGGATCCCGAGAGAACGAGGAGAACGGAAATAAAACGGCCGACGGGAGAACCGAGAGAAGAAGAAGAAGAAGACACAGAGAAACACGGGCACATCGAGAGACACGGCGAGCTGGGTGCGAAACGATGTGTCGAGCGAAACGAAAGGTGCGTGTCGGGCGGAGCGAGCGGAAGAACGGAAAGAACCGCGGCCGCGCTGACAACGATGCGTGTTTAAATGCTCACGGCGAAGCATGCGCTACGTTACGCAGTATAAAAAAACAAGCCTTTTATTTAACTAAGTTAAGGAGGCATTTAATTAGTACCTTCAAGACCTGGAGGTAGAATTTTTGAGATTTTTTGAGAGGTTTTTTTCAGTGAGTGGTTTTGTATTTTTCAGGTGTTCAGGTGGATACAACAACGGGCGCCACAGAGAACAAACAAAGAAAATGGCATTAGATGCCGGTTAGTAACGTGTATCGCTTGCATCTCTCTATCGTTGTTTGCTTTTCTCTATTTATCTTGTTCAGTTTTCTAGTTTCTTTCTATTTTCTTTTCTTATCTTTTCTTTACTTTTCTTTACTTTTCTTTTTTCTTTTTTGCTGTCTCTAATGCTTTGCATGTCGAACGGGTAAACAGATACATTAAAAGATTCAGAGGCACGAGAGGCACAGAACGTAAATCGGGAACGTTTCGTCGCCGAGATGGAACGATCTTCGCGCAGCCCAGCCGCCCCGTCGGCAACGAAAGATCCACGTTTATCGTGGTCGCAAATTTTCCGTTTCTCAGCCAACAGAAGATCCCGATCGAGGCTGTTCACGGCCGCGTGGCTGCGATAATGGAACGCTTTCTCCTGTTCACGAAGATTATTCCCCCTCGGTGGACTCGAAAACCGAAAATTACTGGAACCGGGCGACGCGCTCGCGTTTCGTCAGCTTCGCAAATCCGCGGGAAGAGATCTGCGACAGCAAATAAAGGACGACGGTACTGCGGAGTTGGGCCGTGATCGATCATTGTGTAATTAGTTTGGCAATCGACTGTTAAGAGTCGCGACAGGATCATGCGAATCTTTAGGCAAAATTTATATTTTGTACGTCGTTTGTAAAATGCAGGAGTGAAAGATTTTCTTTGTTAATAATTGTCAAATAATAATAACAAATTCGTGAAAATTTCATGTCAATTTCTTTTGAATTGCGCTCGTTCGTTTGCGCTCGTTCGATCTACAAATCTACAATTTAGCGATCATAATCATTGATTAATTTATCGTCGAATGAATCGGAAAGAATGATTCTATTTGATAATCTGTAATATGGAATGGAGATTTTCTAGATACTATCCGATATTTTGTGTTCGCCTCAGGCATCGGAGTTAATCATAATCAAAAGTCATAACTGCTTCTCGATTGATAATTAAATGGCAAGAAACAAAATGATCCAAGAACACGTAATCATAAGAGATTAATAATTGCGAGAAAAATGGCAACAAATTCACACTTTGTAATCATTATATAATTATACATTTTTGTATAGAACTTTATAAATTGAACAAGTGTCATTTAAAAACAGATATCTGCTCTCCCCAATTTACTCGGACATTCCAAAACACGAGTCTCCATTCCCTAATTTCGTAGGCTGCCTTGCAATCAAACATTTTATCTAATTGTAAAATAAAAAAAATACGAACAATATTTTCGCGACATTCCTGATTTCGCCGTCGCCGAAATTCGTGTCCGGCGACGCTACAAAAATAGCGAAAATATTTGTGTGTCCCGAAAGTGGTTGCGAAGTGACCCGCGTGCACCGGCCAGCAAAAATCAATACCTTTGCCACATTCGCTATCGTCGAACTCTGCCGCACGCAGGCCACAATGATCGATAATATTGATTAAACCAGCTGTGAAGCGAACCTAATCATAATCTGTAACCGTTGATCATCGATCGGTTTACTTTGCGCCCAACTCCTCTATGGAATAGCGTCGCTTCCGGTTCCAGTCATTTTCACACGGCTTTCCCGCGTGCCGCATGGGCCCCCGTTTTCCGGCCCCCATCGGTAGAACGATGCACTCTGCTCTGATAGGTGGAAGCCGAGGGCCAAGGTCACGGCACGCAACACAACCAAGAAGAAAAATTGTCGACATCGAACATACAGGGGTGACAAACACGGGTCGATCTCTAAAAGGGTTGAGAACCGACAGATTCGAGGAGGGGGTGGGTGTGTGGGCGGGGGTGGTCGCGCGGGCTACTCGCGTGACGGCGAATGGACCTCGTGAATATTCCGCGGCCATTCACGATTCCTTCGTGGGAATTTCATCCTCCTCCAATCTCTCGTCAAGGGAAAACGTTCGTAATTTCAGGGTAGCCCGCCCGTATCGGTTGCACTAGACCTTACACAGAACACATACTCGATGGGTCGAGCGAAAATCGATCCCTCGCCGTGCCGGTTCTTTGTTTCGCGCCGCGATACCCGCTGTAAAATTCTGAGAAACTCGAGATGCGCTGGAATCTCACATGTTACCGTCGAGCCTTAATGGAAGTTCCCGTCCCATCGTGTTTAATTATTTCACGAGCTCTACGAATTTCGTGATTTAACTGTCTTCATAATTTTAGATTATTAAGACGTATTCGTATTATCGAGGCTGTTAGATTTAGATGTGAATGCATTGAAAATTAGCCCGAATAATTTTTAGGAAGTGTAGTGTAAACCAGTTAGCTGTTTTCGACGAGCATACTCATTGTGATAAAATGGCAACATTTCGAAAGCAGCTAACTGCTTAAGAACGATATATACTTTGATATTCTTTATTAAATGATCTATTTTATAAAAATGTTTATTTGAACAACGTACGAAGAAAATCAAACATTTACAGTATAATGGCAGTAACTTGCACACTTTTCAAGGAGATTACGACAGATAATTGGTCAAATGTATTATAATGTAATATAATGTATTATATATCGACAATTAGGGAATAATTCGAAATACTGAGAAACATTAAAAATGTATTCCTAAGCTTAATTAAAGATCAATCTTTTTTGAACTTCTGAACAAGATTAAAGTTCGATCTATTTATTTTTTAATAAGCAATAGGATTCGTTCAAAAAATTATTCGCAAATTCATTCGGACATTATACTTACACCAATTTTTAATATTTAACAGAACATCGTAATATACGTTCAACTTTCTCGAAATTATTCGGGCTTGAAAGAATTAAGCTTCGCCAGGGAATACTCGGAATGGTCTTTTTAAAATAACGGCTCCTTCTGGGACGGTTTAAAGTAATTTGTAATTTCTGAAAAGGGAGACAGAAGTAACTTAATTTCCAGACGCAAAACGCGGCGGCTCGAGGCTCCTATGTTCCAACTGCCTTTGCATTTCTTTCGCAGTTTTCCCAGCGTTCTTGGGAACGTTCGTTCCATCTCATCCTGCATTTTGCTACGGTTCACCGGGTATAAAAATAGAACGATGAATATTAATTGCGGCCTCCGAAGCGGAACGATCGCGAACGCAAAATCGAACATGGCAACGCGGAGCAATTTTCCACGAAGACGATTTTTCCAATTCCGATTTTATTATTTCAAGCATTTCGATGTTTTTCACCGATACAATCGAAACTTCGACTGTTCGCAAATATCGAAATAGATAAAGCCGATTACTCGATTAATCAATTCCAATATAATAATGAAATGTTCGAATTTTGATCGTTTCGCGCGATTTCATATTCATGCGGTGATTCGAATAAAATTTCGTGCATCGCATGCGACTCTGATAAATCATTCCCTCCGTCGTTCTCAGCTTTCAAAAAATCTACTCACGACGGAGAATATTTCTTTGCAAATGATTATCCAGCGTGCGAGTCTCGCGTTAATTTTTTCAGGTGGACGAAAATCGTATCAGAATCACTTTCCCTTTCGCGCGGACTAATTTCGAGTTTTTCAGTCGCCGCTCGCCGAAAGCGTCGCAGACGTGCAATTTGTAAATAATAACACGTCGGCGGGTTGTTTTCATCCCTACCGTGGCGCGCACACGAGCTTCATTTCAGCCGCCAGGCGATCACGCGAACGTCGACGCCAGAAGGGCGCGCGTAACGCGAATTGCCCGCTTATTGAAATACATCAATGTTTCGAGCACGCTGGTAATTGCTGTTACATGACTCACCGCGTGTCTGGCGAAATATTTCTCTCAACATTTTTGCCATAACCGAACAAATTCTTCGGTGCGCCGTGTTACGTCACTCAACATTCTCGAGGAAAGAAAGGTGTTTTCCCAAAGATCATCGTATTTCATAAAGACAGTTTCCATTTAATTTTGCGCAGGTCACTCGACACTCCAATTAACAGATGTTAATTTGTTGTCAACTGGTCTCAACTGAACTTTCTTTCTATTATTTTCTATAATTTTTATAATTTTAATTAGTGTTACTTGGAACGTTCATTATTCTGTGCATCACATTCCATGATAAAAGCGATATAATAAATAAAAATGTAGTCAATGTCGAGAGCCATATAGAGAAATTATGACAAATAACAATTTCGATTAAATTATAATGCTCCAGCGATATACAGAACATAGTGCTTTTCAGAAATTTGTACATATATTACAACGAAAGGAGCATTGATATAAATGGCTAACAACGATGCCTAACAATTAATGGCTTTCTTAATCATTTTTAAACGTCATTTTGCAATATCAATTTTCTGTAGCATCAATTCATTTGGGCATGATGAAAAATATTTATCAAAATGTACAACTATTTAGAATATAGAGATTAGGTTTAGAATAATATAGAGATTGCATGTATAGTAAATTCTCTCCAATTGTCCCTCAGCATGTAAACAAAAATGTAAACAAAATCTTAATCGTTTTTAAACGTCATTTTGCAATATAAATTTTCTGTGGCACCAATTCATTTGGGCATGATGAAAAATATTTACCAAAATGTACAACTATATATACTGTCTCTTATACACATCTAGATGTGTATAAGAGACAGTCCCTCAGCATGTAAACAAAATCTTAATCGTTTTTAAACGTCATTTTGCAATATAAATTTTCTGTGGCACCAATTCATTTGGGCATGATGAAAAATATTTACCAAAATGTACAACTATATATATTTAGAATATAGAGATTAGGTTTAGAATAACATAGAGATTACATGTATAGTAAATTGTCTCCAATTGTCCCTCAGCATGTAAACAAAATCTTAATCGTTTTTAAACGTCATTTTGCAATATAAATTTTCTGTGGCACCAATTCATTTGGGCATGATGAAAAATATTTACCAAAATGTACAACTATATATATTTAGAATATAGAGATTAGGTTTAGAATAACA